GAGGCAGAGACTGAATCCTCGCAGTTGACATGGAGCAAGACCTCGTGGCAGGCTGACCAAAGCATCTTGTGATATCTCAGGTGAAGCTAGCTCGTAAGTTCTGGTCACTGGAGCTACTAACCCAAGTCCAACGGTCGGGGGGCGCGGTGGAGAATCCCTGGTTCCGGGGTTTGTGTCACGGACTCACAGGTCCCTACCAAAGCCTAGGCTGGAGCTTCTCTCGGGGGCCTAGAAGGCTTGCGTCTATATGATATGATCCTCGCCTTATCATCTTCCCCTCCTACATTCTTCACATCTCGACTCCTGAGCATCTAGGCTCAGTCGGTGAGGAGGGGATGTCTCTGAATATCTACATCGCTCACACCGGTGAGCATTTACTTGCTGATCCAGTGTCATTTGCCTCGTATGTTTTCCTCTTATTAGTATACCATCGCCGCTTTGCTTCAGCTTGTCCATCCGTACTCTTTCTGATACGGTGCGAAAGCTTACTGACTATTTATCTCTCCTAGTCCGGATGCACTCCGAACATGGATCGCCCGTCATACCTCGATACCTGCACAGAGGCAGATCTTGATGACTGCTCGTGGGAAGAACGTCAGGATACAGTCACTTGCCACCGAGGTACGATAAGATAGTGCCGTCTATTCTAGTATCTCCGTATAGCTTCAGCTACTCATTGATTTTCGTCCAACAGGACGAGATTTTCGTTTATGACCGCCGTTTTGTTAGCGAACCCGACAATGTTGAGCTGCCGGAGCTTCCTTCTCCCGAACCTTTCACCCCGGACACTCCCCCCGATACCCTGGCCAACCAGAACGATCTACAAGCATGGCGGAATCTTTACATGGCCAGACGGTCATGGGCCTTAGCCCTGGCAGAGAAGTGTGGAGCTATGGACAAGAGCATCCACGAACACAACGAGCGGACGGAGATCAGCAATCGGGCGGCGGGTGTAGCACTCGAGAATCTGAAGACACATGTGGGCAATCTGGAGAATCGGTTTCAAGAAGCTCAGACGTGGGCAAATGACTTGTTGAAAGAGCAGCAAGTTGCCCTGGATGGATGGCAGCGCGCGCTCGCGACGCTCGAAAGCATTCCCGCACCAAAAGTCTTTCCCTTCCTGGGACGTCCATCAACCCCCAAAGAGCACAAAGATCGGCCAACGGGGACGCTTCGGGATTTTGTGGATGCAGATGAGGTTCAAAAAGCTGGAGCGGAAGCTTCGGCTGAGTCTTCGCGCTTTGCCCGTCAAATTGATGATGTCGCTGAAGCTGTGAGGGGCATCACCGCAGATACGCAACGCTTGATCGACGACCAGATGCCATCAGGCACCGATGTCGCCGACGGACTGCAGGAGATGATTACTATCGCGAAGAAAATAAGCTCCGACTATGAGCACGTTCTATCACTGCCGAACAATCAAAAGACATTAGCGAATGTTTCTAGGCTTGCTCTGACTCATACCCAAGATCTTCTCCCTTCAATGCTGGACATTAGTGCTGAGATCCATGCCGGGCTCGAAGAAGCTGTCAGACGACATAATACTGCAATGAAAGTCGCTCTCGACCATATGCGGACTATCTCGGCAATTGAACTACGCCTTGCGGACGTACAATCTCAGATTATTAATCTCAACGTCCAGAGCGACGCGTTTGATGTTGTGTTCTCTGTATACCACATGCCTATGGTCTACGGCTCCATCTTAGTGGAGTCCGTGCGGCGTCGCGAGTTCAATGAAAAGATGAAAGCCGATTCGCTGACGCTGGCCGAGGAGATGGCTGTCTTCAGGGATGAGGAGCAGCGGCGGCGAAAGAAATGGCTGAAGAGCATGGGTGATTTCGTCTCTCTTACAGAGACCACTACTCCGGGCGTCGAGATCAATCTTCAGGGCCTCGATTATGAATGGCCCGAGGTCAGTAGAAACGATATCGAATCATATATTGAACATCTCAAATCTCGATCAGCCATGGCTAGTCTGGCCGAAGAGCTTATGCAACAGTACAAGGATTTAGATGCACCTACTCGCCATCAACGCCGCAGGGCAAAGGCTTTCAAGCAGGGCAGCATCTTTGACTTAAGCCGGAGCTCCCTCCTACTCCGGAGCGACGATATGCTGCGGAGTCTGAGGGACGAAAAGTCCAAGCTCGAAGAGAAGTTGAAGGGTTCGGAAAGCCGGATTCGAAAGCTTGAGGACCTGCTTCACCGCCAGAGCCAGCTCAGTCGGCCGGTCAGCGGAAATTTCAGCCTGGAATTCCCTAGCTCTCCCGCTTCGCCCCATCCCGATGAACTTTCCAGGCGTTCGTCAGTGTCGTCGCGAAGGATGTCTGCCAACCAGTCTTCAGAGGACAAGACGCTAGCGCAGCGGATTGTCACCCTTGAGGCGGAGCTGAATGCGGAGCGGGAGACCGTACAGAGGCTTCAGAAGGAGGCACACGCGGAGAGATTGTCCAATACCGATAAGATACAGGAGGCGCAGTCTACTAAGAGAGATCTCATCGGCAACCTTGAAGCCCGCCAACGCGAGTTCGATGAAGAGCGGCGTTATCTGGAGGGCGAGTTAAAAAAGTACAGACTTCGAACAGAAGAACTTGAGGAGGAACTGGATAGGATCACAGACAGCCGCGACCATGCGAAGCAAGACGCCGACGAACGGATCAGTCAACTCGAGACCGAACTGCAAAACCTTCATATTCACGCAGAGGAAGAGATACACCGAGCAAACGATCTACTCGAGCAAATACAGACCCAGAAGGTGACGGAAGAGAGCCTCCAGCAACGAATCAACGACCTCGAGAAGCAGCAGTCGGAGATCAAAGCGAGAGAGGAGGAGAGTCTTCAGACCTTGCAGGCTGCATTCATGAACCTGTCTCCTGGGGGTGCCGTACCAGCTGAAATCCCTGGAATCATCAAGGCAATCGAGGTGCTTTCAGAAGGGCTCTCGATTCACGTCAAGAATGCCGAAGAAAAGATGGCAGAGGCAGTAGCTGAGAACAGAGCTCTCGAAGAGCGAATGAATCAACTGGAGGCCGAGGTTCAAGACGCCAGGAAGAGTGCGGAGCAACGCGAGTCGGAACTGGCCCAGGTCCGGGGAGAGCTAGCACAGGAGAAGGAGAAGCTAGCCACAGTGGAGGCTGAGCTCCATGATGAGAGATCAAAGCTCAATGCTCTGCAGTTGCAGCATGCAGATGATGGCTCCGGCACGGATGCCTTGCGGGAACGTGTTGTAGAGGAGGAAAGGAAATTAGGAAGCTTGTCTCAAAGACTAGCTGAGGTCGAGGCTCAAGCTCGCCAATCCGAGAAAGAAGTTACCGTGTGGAAGAACAAAGTCAAGGCCATCTCGGAATCTGAGCAGCAAGCGACAACCCGCATTGAGATTCGTGGCTCAAGAGCTAAGGAGCTGTCCCAACAGCTCTTTGAACAGGTCGAGAAGATGGAGCATATGCTCGAGCAATTGGGCTTCACTGTGATTCGGCAGGACGGAGAGATAGTTGTGCAAAGAGCCTCCAAAGTGAATGCTTCCTCTGGCATTGGCGACAGTCTTGCCCAGTCCGGAATCGTCTCTGTCAAGCCAGACGCCAGCCTTCTAGACTGGATCCACGCAGAGACTGCCCAAGAGGAGACGGATCGGTACATGGCCTTTTTGGAGTCTCTGTACCAGTTTGACGTGGACGTCTTTGGAGATGCGGTCGTCAAACGAGTGAAAGATATTGAGCTCCTTGCTCGAAAATGGCAAAAAGAGGCAAGAGGATACCGGGACAAGTACCATCGCATGCAGAGCGAGGCGCATGACAAGATTGCGTATCGGTCATTCAAAGAAGGGGACCTTGCTCTGTTCCTTCCCACCCGTAACCAAGCCATCCGCTCCTGGGCGGCATTCAATGTCGGAGCACCCCACTATTTCCTACGCGAGCAAGATGCCCATAAACTGCAGACCCGTGACTGGCTACTGGCTCGGATCACGAAGATCGAGGAGCGTGTGGTGGATCTTTCGAAGTCCATGAACGGAGCCCATCCGGATCGTCGATCCATAGGGGGAACCAGTGACGCGGCTTCGTTCGATGACGAGAATCCCTTCGAACTGTCTGATGGTCTCCGCTGGTACCTCTTGGATGCGAATGAAGAGAAGCCTGGCGCCCCTGCAACACCCGGCCTGGGTAAAAGCACCGTTGCGCCGGCGCACGTAGACGCCCGCGGTAGCATTCGACTGAAGCGTACATCAAACGGGGGGAACGTTGCCAGAACGTTGACGAAGAGCCTGGACAGTCGACGCAACAGCTCGAGCTCCAAGAAGGGACCGTTCGCCATTTCCCAGCGAGCCAACGAGTCTACAGCGGAACTCGCTCCGCCAGCCGAGGCGAATACCGCACAAGAGGCAGCGTCCGCCCCTGAAGAGGTTCGCCGCGACCAGCTCCAGGGACCGTGAAGCATTCACGTGTTCCGTCTTCTTATTATTTTCTTCAGCTTTCGTGACTCCCCGGATTGGAGCTGACGCACCGTCATAGGGCACAGGGCGTGCGCATGAGAGTTTTCCGGGAGGTCGCCAGCCAACCCCCAGCCTGCAGCGTTCGACTTCCCGGTTAGCCGGCGAGACGGAGGCCTCCTCGCCATCGCGATCGGCGTCGACTCGACGTTCGATGAACAGGTACCGGCCTTGGGAGAAGCTCTGGTACGTTGACTACCGATTGGAAAGTGGGAGCAAATGAGCAATATTTACAATACATCTGGGGTTTGAATGGAGCGATTGATATTTGTCACGTCATGAAATACGGATCATGCCATGCTTGAGAGATACCCATGCGCTTGGAACACGACTTATTTTCTTTTACATGTTATTTAGCCTGTCCTGTCGCAGTAACTCATAGATCGGAAACTGTGGAATTTGATGAAGATTATACGCTCCATATGCTCAACTCCAACCTCTATAGAAAACTCCGCTCGTATCAAGGTGAAACGCACCTGCAGCGCTTTGCCCCCGAACGCGCCCCAAAAGTGATTAGTACTCAATCGAGCTGATCAGCAAACCCCTCTGGCATCCCCCCAACTTCCCGCCAAAAGCGCGCAAAGTCGACGTTCTCCTTCTCGAACAGCTCCTTTGCTTGCAGCATGGCGGAGCGCTGTCGTTCCGGCGTGAAGCCGCCCGGCTGCGTGCTCTCGTACTGGATCAGCTCCACCCACCGGAAGAAGAGATCCTCCTTGCCCATCTCTGTCAACTTGTCCTTGAACGCCAGGATCTGGTCGCTCTGCGCAGACCGCGTCCTAGCTTCCGCGGTGTCCTCGTCTTCAACCCGCCAGATCAGCCAGCCGTCCGCATCGGTATTGACCAGCACGGCTGTGCGGAACTCAGACAAGGCGACGCGGTCGTCTTTCCGCGCGGAATCGGTCATCTCGTGCGCCTTGATCATGGCGTCGTAGTCCAGGTCCCAGTCCGCGTCGACGAGCAGGTATCCCGTCTTGCGGATGCGGTCGGGGGTAACGGCCGCGACGATCTTGTCGCGGGCTTCGTCGTTGTCGCGGATCCAGCGATTTCGCTCCATGGTCTGGGAGAGGGTGCGCTGGCTGCGGCGGACGATGATTTCGCGGCCTTGGAAGCCGAGTTTGCGGCGCCATTGCACGGGCCCGCGCATGAAGCGGATCGGCCAGGGTAGGAAGACGGTTATGAGGAAGTAGTCGATCATGACGCTGAATGTGCGGCGGAGGATGAGGCTTGCTGTTTCGGCTGAGGAGAGTCGTGAGGTGTCTACCCCCGCAGAGCTGGTGAGTCCGATGACCGTGGCGAGCATGGCGGGGTAGGTGTTGCGCACCGTGTAGATGCGGAGGGCGAAGATGGCGACGATCACGGCATTGATTATGGCTGGTACGATGAAGGTCTGTTTCTTGAGGTCTGGCGGGGAGGTGTCGATGTGGATTAGGTAGACCTCTTGTGGTGAGAGGGGCTCGAGGAAGGGCCGGAGGGTGGCGGGTACTTTGGAGAATGGTGGTAGAGGGCCCGCTTGCGAGCCGGGAGTTGACGTTCCGGAGGATGAGGCAGAGCGCGATGCTGCTGCCTTACCCTTGCCGGAGCGTCGTGCAGACTTGGTCATTGTGATGTGCTCGTGGTGGAGTTCGGCGGTTATGCCACGGTACAGTGGTTTCACAGCAATATAAGCAAGCTGTCTCGGATATTTCCCCTGTTAGCTGGTATATATTCTTGTATGAATTGCCAAGCATCAGGGGGCCCTGCGCTGGCACACGATCACCGTGATGATCTAGACGTCTGACCCGGTCACATGTCCGTCAGTAATAGGTCGATGCACACCGATGAAACGAAAGAGGAGATATTACAATGCATACCATGTATCTTCCAAATCAAATGGAGCTAGAGAGCAACAAAATGATGGCAACCGTCCGGTTCTTGGCCGAGAACCGCAGCCTGGTGTAGTTTGTATAGCATCATCGTGTATCGAAATTCCGCCGAATGACGCTGTTGTTCCTTCTCCGCAGCGCTAAACCGCTTTGAGTCTATAGGACGGAACTCGATGTTGGAGTTTCGTCCGCATTGTTGAGTTGCTTCTCCCAATTTATCAGCTATCGCATTCTTGCGAAAGAGGAAACGCGTTGTGTTGTCGCAGAAATAGTGAATGAAGGCATTATTGTCCATTCACTCGAGGGGCCCCTCTGTTTGTCGTCATGCCCACCCCCGAGCGCAACACCGACCGGCTAGCTTCGTCGCGTCGCATCTACGAGCAGCAACAGCAGCGCTCACCTTTCAGTCGAGCTCGTGGCAACTCTCGAGCAGCTGAAGATTTTGACGCGTCTCGGATTCCTAGTCCATCCTACAAATATACTAGTCAGCGTCGGACGAATTTCAATGAGACCAATACCCTAACAGGAGCGTTCAGGAAAGCGGGGCGCTACGCAACGATGGCAGAGAATGAGGGTATATCGGCACCCGTGAGAGGGACGCCAAGTCCTGGAAGAAGGCGCCAGATTTACAATGTCCGGTCCCCCGAGTCGAATCCGCCGAACGAGCTTGCAGAGGCATATCGACAGATAGACGATGCGGACAGCCTGGCCGATCTGGAGCCAGAGGACGCCTACGGTCGGGAGGATAAGATTGGACGGTCATCAGGCTATTATGCGCGAGATTACGATGTGTTCACGACCTCTGACGCGAGCTTTCTGAACGAAGTTCAAGAGGAGTCACCCCGGCGAAGGTTGTCCGATCATATTCAGGATGAGAAGCGCTTGAGACGAGCCACGACCAGCCACTCTCCTGTCCTGTCCAATCGCGGCGGAACTAAGAATGCCTTGACCGCGGAGAATCTTCAACGGCGCGAGGAGGAGGATCAGATAGTCTCTGGAGACGATGATACTTTCCAACACGGGCTCAACGTGCCTTCTACTTGGGGTAGCCGAGCGAAACGCAATACCGACTGGCTCAGGAAACTAAAGCGACGCGATGAACCTGAGCCCGAACCGGAGCCCGAACCCGAGCAAAGGCCGGAGCGGCCTGTCAATGTGTCGCCGCCAGTGACCAAGCTCAATTTCGACTTTCGTACCAGCCCCAACCAATCCCTAAAGCCAACATCAAGCAGATATAGCAGGATCCCTCTATCAGACGCCAGGAACAAGTTGTCCTCAGAACATAAGGACAACAAGCCGATTGGGGGAAATTCGGAGCCTATCGCCAATACTCCAGTCGTTGTCTACAAGAATTCCAGTTTCACCAAGCCAAGTCCCTCGAAGCGCGACTCGCATGACTTGATCCGCAGACTTGCGAGACGAGAGAGTCCTGACCAGAATCGAAACCAGCAGGAATTGAGGACACCCGAGCCACCAAAGGGCGGCCAGCGTCGGATATATGACAAAACCCCTGTCGTGACAGGCGCGTGGATAGACACTCCTATGACTGAGCGAATTTCCGAACGCACCACAAAGATGTCCGACGAGCCCACAAATGGTTTCAGGTCTCAAGTTGTGCCAGATCAACTGAAACCCGTTATTCCCGAAGTGGAAGAAGAGGCAGAAGCCGAGGTCAAAGGACTCACGCAGGAGAGAGAACGGGATGTGGAGAGGAACAAACAAGACCAGCAGGAGAGAGAGCGCGAAAAGGAGCAAGAGAAAGCAAGGATGGAGGGGGAGCAGGAAAAGGCAAGAAAGGAGAATGAAGAGAAGGAAAAGGAAGTGAAACGGCAAGAGGAGGAACAAGAGAAGAGCAAGGAACGAGAGAAGAAGGTGAAACTGCCACTCGTCAAACCCGATCTGCCCAAGAGTGCCCTCGAGTCAGTCATACTGGAGCATAAGGCCGATAAAGAAACCCTCGACGTGGGTGATGATACGATTGAAAGTCTCCAAGAACTGCTGGTCGAGCAGTCCACTGAAGCCAAGACCGGCCCACAGTCTGATGCCGCCTACGAGAAGTCGATAATGGAGAGGTTAGAGCGGAGCCACGGTGATGAGGACATGGGTGATCACAAGATAAGCGAGAAACTGCTGTCGCTGGAAGAGAACCAGGACACTTTGAGAAAGAAGATTGATGGTGTTGAGGAACAAATGACGCAGAATATACCCAAGGTACCCGAGGACTCTCCGCGTCCGACATCTTCCCAAGCTCAGACGCAGTTGAAGCGTACCCCTGCAGGGAAGACTTGCGAGACTTGCGGCGCAGAAAATGACGGCCGCATCTATGCTTCCATTCCACTCCCTCTTTTGTGGACGCACGATCCAATTTCGCGGCGTATCCGCATTACGCGCCTAGGCTGGGGCCTCCTGCTTTCACTCCTGTGGTTCGTTTCTGAATCGACCATGTGCGATTACTACTGCCATCCCACTGTTGCTCCCGTCTGCGAAGGGAACTGTTTGCGTCCTGACGCGCCACGATTTCCGTTTGTGCTTCCGATGATGCTATGGCGATGGTCTCATCTCTCTTCTGCTCTGGAACCAGTTGCGACACTTGGAATCGCATTTATCAGACTCCTAGCGCAGCTCCTGGGTGTCTGGGACGGTTATGTGGACGTGCCACCGCGGACACTCAACCTTTCTGGCGAGGTCCGCATATACGGCACGCGAATCACTCATTCGCCTGTGACCGCAACGGCTACTTCCGGGTTTTTTGCAAGGCAATGGCCGGCCAAGGGACTCAGACACACCCCGGAAGCCGTGTACACGCCAGAGGCTGTCCCAGAGTTGAGGCTGGAGGAAGAGTTGCCTCGAGAAGTGTGGGACGATGACTCGATGGATGACGACGAATTATTGTGACCAATGCATGGAGACAGATGCATGGACTGGAGTCGCGGTTCTTCTTTTCATTATCTGATTTTATATGGTTTCTGGAGTTGATGGTCGGTTTGTACCATGGAACAGCGGTTGGCGAACGGCGATAAGATTTTGTACCTGGAGACATCTTGCTTGGTTCTTCGACTATCTTAATACCATCTATGATTGTGCTTGTCTGACAATCTTTTATACATACTTCATCTTTTATGGGGAATTAGGTTGGCCTAGGCGGGAATGATGAAATGGTGAACGCCAGCGATCAAGGCTGACCCAGGATCACACGTAGCACGGTCAAGCTCACCATCTACTATATCATATATCTTGGATGTCCATACGGCAGACAACCTAGGGACTTCCACTTCTTCGATAAAATGGCAATTTCCGTGCTCCCAATTTACCACAAAAAAGCCATGCGCAATGACGGCGTCTTCTCCAGAGTCTCCACTGTTCATAAAATCATAAAACAGGCGAACCGAGGCATTCCAGTGTCCCCGCATGCCTGCATTTCCTTGGAATTTGAGATCCTGATCGACCCCTAGCATGCATCATTTCGCTTCGTGCTCATCCGTTTCCTGTAAATAAAATTGGCGTTTTCGTTCATTATTCAAGCAACACATCGCTCTTGTTTGTACTTAAAGGCCCCAGCGATTGTTTGTAAGAGTTAGCGCCATCGTGGATCAGTCGCGATGAGCAATCTCGCTAACCCCGTCACTCTTTTGAAGGAGATCCTGGTGAGGACTCCACTCATTTTGAAGACGGTCCTTCTACATGCAGTCCATATGTCCCCGGGCTCTGGGAAACAAGATCTTCGCACCGAGTTGACCGTCGCCATCATCCGCTCGTTTATCAACTTCAGGCTTCCCGTCGGCAAGCAGCAAAAGGGCAGTATGCGCGACCCGGGCATCAAGGGTCCCATGTGGGTGTCCAAGGTCACGCTGCCTCAGCCGGAGAATGATGTCCAGGATGCAGTCATCAAAGCGATTGAGGAGTTGAAGTCCGGGGATGAGACGTATGATATTCCCGGAGTCGGACCTGTCGAAGCCGAATGGACGGGGTATCGCAAGGGCGTGGACAAGAACGCGCCACAGCCTGATATCTCGGAAGAGGAGAAGTACAAGAAGTTGCGCAGTGACTCAGATGCGGATATGGTCATTTTGTACTTCCACGGAGGAGCGTATTTGTATGTTGCGGTCGTTCCGTCAAGCAGGAGTGCATACTGATCGTTTTGGCAGCCTCATGGATCCCTGTACACACCGGGTTCCCGTATCCCAGCTCTCCAAGCACACTGGGGCTCCCGTTCTCTCGGTGCGATACCGTCTGGCGCCCCAGCATCCCTTCCCGGCGGCGCTGGTCGACGCCTTCGTCGCATATCTGTCGCTGCTCGCGCCGCCCCCGGGCTCGCTGCATGACCCCGTGCCAGCCAACAAGATCATCCTGGCTGGCGATTCCGCCGGAGGCAACCTATCGCTAGCTTTACTTCAGACCCTTCTGACGCTTCGCCGCGTCTCCCCCACCGTACGCTTCCACGGCCAGGACATACGCATCGAGCTCCCCGCAGGCGTCGCGACAAACTCCCCCTGGTGCGACATCACAAGGTCCATGCCATCCGTGTTCCACAATGCGCGCTACGACTACCTCGACCCACCCAGCCAGACGCCGGACACGAAATACGTCCCGCTCCCCATCCCCGAAGACGAGATCTGGCCCTGCAGTCCTCCCCGCGGCGACTTCTTCGTCAACGCCAACGCTATCCTGCACCCGCTCGTCTCTCCGCTCGCCTCCCGCGGTGAGATCTGGAAAGACGCCCCGCCTGTCTTCATTTCTCTCGGCGAGGAAGCCCTGGCAGATGAGGATCTGCTTCTCGCGCGCAAGCTGCACCGTGCTGGTGTGCCTGTGGTCGTGGAACAGTTCGAGGGTATGCCGCATTGTTTCGGGTTCTTTATGATGGGCACGCCGGCGGGTCAGCGGTTCTCCAAAGGCATGGGAGGCTTCTGCCGTGATGCGGTGGCAGGCCGCGTCAGAAGCTCGGGGAATCTGACGTATATCGGGTTCAAGTTGCGATCGACGAAGGAGATCCCCCTGGAGAAGGCCGTGGCCTTGAGTGATGAGGAGGTGGATCGGCTACTGCACAGGACGGCGAACTGGCGGCTGGAAGGTGAGAAGGAACTTCAGCGGCAGGTGACGGAAAGGGCAAAACTGTAGTCTGGTCTGCAGAGTGGTGCCGTCTTGTTGTATATATCTGACTTATACCCCTGTATATCCTGATTCTAGTTCACTTACGATTAACACGTTACGAATTCTGCATTTGCTACTAAGTCTATCTTCGTACCTATTGTACCCGCTTGTGAATCAATGGTAACAGGTTTCCACAACTTGACTGTGGTGCTAAGTTCGTTATTCCCCTGAGAGCTTCTCTCACCAATTTATCCTTGATATACCAGGTATTGACTTCTGGGAGCTCTATGATACACTCGGAGCTCGCTACATAGATGACATACAGGTTGGAATCTCAGATGGATGCCTTAGGCACTTGTAAACATGATAGGTCTGGAGATCCTTGATCGCAGCTCCGCTAAACCGGATCCGGCAAGCAACTGATGGGGTGTCGACGTAATGGAGAGTAAAGCTCAACAGCTGTCCATGATGACGTCGTTCAACCTCCAAGAATGGCCCGGAAAAGGGTATATAAACCAGGAGGCAAAAGTCTTCGAAACACATTCTAAGTGGTCCTTCTACGCTCAGAAACATTACGTTCATCAAATCCATCAATATCACCTTAATTGCCGCATCTCAAACCACCTTCCGAATCTGATACACTATACAACCAGCACTACAATACAAAATGTCTTCTCTCGCACGCTTCGCTCCCCTGACTGCTCGGGTCGCTGCTGTTCGCACGACCGCTCCTGCCTTCACTGCTGCCGGCAGCAGATTCATCTCCTCGACACCCAAGAACGAGAAGGGTCCTGTGGAGGCAACCAAGGAGACTTTGAAGAAGGCGGACAGAGTTATCTCCGATAATCTCGTGAAGGGTATCAACAAGGGTGGTATGTGTTTGTCACTCCTAAGGGACCATGATGTATGCTGATGGGATGCAGAACAAGCGACTGAGAAGGTCAAGCAGACGGTGGGAAGCACAACTGAGGAAGCCAAGTACAAGGCGGAAGGAATGAAGGAGGAGATGAAGGGCGAGGCCTCGGAAAAAGCAGGCAAGACCAAGGGTAAGGCCGAGGAGACTCTTGGCGAGGCCAAGGGTAAAGCTAAGGAGGTATATGGTGAGGCCAAGGGCAAGGCAAAGGAGATGGGTAACGTGTGAGGCGCAGCTGACACTGCCTCGGCGGAATGAAGAATCAAAACAAGGATAGAAGCCAAGGGCCAAGTTGATGATTAACTGACGCATGGATGGTTTCCTTTTTCACCGATCTCATGATGTTTAATAGCATATTCCATGACAAAGCACAATGACCACGTTGTTATGATTCATGTTCCCTGCTGAGCCTCGACCCTCTTGTCATCGCGAGTAGGTCTTCGAACCTCGTACGAACCTGAATGAGATAACATCACATCGGACTGTCGATCAATCTGGCTGAGGTAGCATGAGAACATATTCTCTCGAGCTCAAGCCAAACTTGAGAACATCCTTGTCTCGCAACTCAACGTAGCGCCCGGCTGGGATCGTATCTCCATTCACATGGGAGCCATTGGCGCTCTCCAGGTCAATGAGGCACGGTTTGACCTTTCCAATTCGATCTCCGAATTCGTTCCTCTTCTCGACGAATCGGAATTGAATGGCCGCATGCTGCTTGGAGCAGCTAGGGTGATCCAGCGGGAAATCGGCCACAAGGCGCTCCCTTCCGATCAACCAGCAGCTGCGCTCGGCCAGCTCGACTACCTCAAGTAAATCTTCCCCTTTAAACACGTAGAGTCGCCAAGGTTCTTTCGCAGGAGGCTTGCGCGCTTCCGGGGGCTCATGGTACTTGAGAACGACCGTACCTCCACCGACATTGACAGTATTGGTTTCAGCAGCCAAGCGACCGGTGTTTCCAAAATTGGGTTTCTGTTTTTCTGGCGGCGGTGCCGATGATTCCCCTCTCCGCGCAACTTCTGATGATGTATATGCGTCGTTTTGAGAAGGTAGGGGAGCCTTGGATCGGGGAAGAGTCCGCGACTCTGGGCTTCGTGAGCGTCCAGCCGGCGAGCGAGAACGGGACCGACTTCGATGTTTTCGGGAAGATCTCCCTCGATCGTCGTGCGAGTCTCGGTCGCGGTGACGGCGGTGACCACGTTCTTCAGATGGGTACCTTCGACGTCTGCGGTGGTCATCCGATTCTTCTCGTCTTTCTCTGCGGTCTCGTCGATCACGGTTATCTAGTTGGCGGGCATCTCTCCCCGTCGGGCTGCGCGGAGACCGTCTTCGAGAGCTATCTCTTCGAGAACTTCGATCATCATCGCGGCGTCGTTCTCGGGTGTGCCGTCGTCCATCATTGTGTCTKTCTGAAAGGGAGGGTTCAGAAGGCGACCGGCGCCGTCTTTTCTCACGGTAGTCATTTCGTGATTCAGTCATGACCAGTTGGGCTGTCGAAACTAGGGATCACTCGATAGAGCAATCCAGAAAAGTTGTTGTACCCGACAGATGAAGAAAGTAAGAAGATGGGTCCCAGCACGTGACCCTATGTTGGCGGATCGGGGAAGATTGAGTGAGCATCGTCATTCGATCACCTCACAGAGGCCTTGAACAGAGGGTTTATCACTGCATCATTATCTATCTTTACGGGGGAGCATGCTGTGTTCTCTCCCTTGAAACCATGCGGCCGCCATGCTCAAGAGACCTAATGCCCTTTGCTACGGTGGTCTCCAACTGCTGATTCCTTCATCCTCTTCCTCCCCGCCACCCGCCTCACACTCGGCCAAACGCCGACCATGGTGCTTTCCATCCTACAGACTATACGCAACTGCACACGATATTTATGACAAGGGTCTTT